ACAGCTGCGCTACACCACACTACATCCAACAGTTGTGGTGAGGTGACCACTGCAACCATTGCAACCATTGCAACCATTTCAAAAAACACAACTCCAACCATCTTTCGGTCCATCAGCGGATTCGCTCTGCCATCCGTGATTCACAACAACCAACCCTTCCAATAGGTTTCATATTTTTGAAACTTCCGCCACCGCCTTGTGCGGCACTACTGGAAGATTTATTGGTGAATGTTTTGCCCTGGATGAATGAACCCTGGTGGGTTCATGCTTGCGTGAACTCTGCAATATTGATTCTCCCATTGAGAAATGCATCCTCACAATGAACCAACGCTTTCTTGTAGTGCTTTGGGTGCTTGCAATTGTAAAAACGATGCAACGTGACACAGCGATACACAAAGTCTGTAGATGATTTGGTCCAGTTTTGTATACTTCCTGTTGCCTAGTAGTTGCCTAGCAACCTCTCGGCCAGAGCAGCAAGTTGAGCAGGTGCATGGTGGGATGATCTTGTTTTTGGGGCTTCTAAGCACAGCGGTTCCGAGCATTTTGGTGGGCTACTGCCTATCCCGAACGCCATTGCTCAGCGACGTGGAAGTTGGAGGTGGCGCCTTGACATGTCCCACAAGGTGAATGAACGGATTGATTTGGTAGTGGAATATTCTGAATATTCTTCAAATCAAATAGTTGCCGGAATGCCAAAGTGAACATTCTCCGAGCAATTATTCATTTGCCATGTTCACAAGGTACCCGTAGCGTTTGAACTCATGGCCGCATCGTTTCTTATGTGCATCCACTCCTATACGCTGGTTGGACAAGTGCCATCCAGGCATGGAAACACAGGGGATGCCTCAAGTTTTCATTCTGCTCCAAAATCTTCAGGTGTTGATTTAATTGATGTGTTTTTCTTCCACAATTCCAAGGTGGTTTGTGCTGTAGTGCTTTGGGATCCGTGAACGCCTAGCAGCCACCACTTGTTTGATTGTTTGACTGTCGCTAAGGAAACCTTGGCCCAAGTTTTTCAAACTCTCGATTTGACTACTACATTCAGGTCCAACATGCGGGTAGCAGTGGCATCAAGATGACCTTCCTGATGGATTTGGGTGAAGCTTCCGCTTACACTTTCTGCTGTCACGCAGCAGCTTGTTCTAAAGTTGAAGCCCGTGATAGCTCCTCACAGCTCAGACGATCATTGCGCCAAGCCAGTTTGGCACGTGTCAGCTTGAGTTGAGGGGCTTGCGACGCAGCAGCTACACCTTTACAGCGCCATGACCTCACCTTCGATCATGGGTGTTCAGGGTGACTAACCTGTGTGACCATTGACAATGTGTTGATATTAGGGAAAGATATTGATATTGGAACGATTTAGACTCTCAGACGTTGGTGTATTGGGTTAATGATCCCTGCGTTGCTGTGGGAAATCCAGGTGATGTGGAAACTCAGGCTTTCTGTGCATGTGATGCCGTCAATAGGGGTGTAAGAATGGACTTGGTGATAAAGCAACAGTTTATTGGAGGAGGCTAAGTGGACAACAGACTGTGTGGGTGGCGTTGTTTCAAGGCTGGGCATTCTGCATTGAATTACCAAAACCGTAATTTGAGATTGACACTGGAGATCCATTGTGGCATCTTTTGCAAGAAGAATTGCACAAGCATCAGAATAGTCTGGACTCGTCTGGACACTTCTTTTTTTTGTCCCTCAATGTGCTTCCTGGTGTGCCAGTCAAGGTGCTAGCTTTGCGCAATCTTGTCCCATCCCTCAGCATTCCGGCTGACGAGTCATTTGCCCCATATGATCCCAAGCGGCATGTCTACGACGTGGACATCATCAAGCCAGATATGGATAGTCTGATGCTGTCAACAAAGTTTGACATGGATCAGACGCGCATGAGAGTAGCAATTTCTGCGAATTCATGCGCTGCTAACGCGAGTTGTTCTACACTTCGCACGGCCAATTCGCCGGGATCCGTTGATGTCGACGTCAACATCTCCGCAATGACTTGCCCGCTCAATGTGACATTAGTCATTTGACCTCCTTAGATTGGTACCATCTGGCTATTTAACAGTTCGCCATGGAAAATCACCATTTTTAATAGTTGAACCATCTATTTCTATGGGCCATCTATACCATGGCTATGTTAAATAACCAGATGGTACAGGGTTGATTTTCTCTCCGGACATAGTTCCTAATCATGAAAGGTTCGGCGCCTTGCAACAGGACATTGATTGCCAGTGATTTGTGATTTCCGGGCAATCTTTGTACACAGCTTTACTCGGCACGGTGCACATTCACTAAGGTAATAGCTTTGCGACCTGCTGAAGATATTGACATGACTGGGAATGCCAGCACATACACAGTCTCTTTGATGATCTTCACCATCAAAGACAGGCTGAAACATCTTCTATGGCAGATCTCTGAGCTGAAGGCTCGCATTGCTACAGGCCAAGAAGTGGATTCACAAGACGTCGCCGAGAACGTCAAGAAGTTGGCTGAAGCCTCCCGATCTCGGGATGAGCTGCTTCGGCGAGCCCAACGTGCTCGAGAGTGCCGAGCTACAGGCAGCCACGAGCGTTTCACCTTTCTCGCAGTTGGTGTAACCGGGACCGGGAAATCGGAACTCTGCCGCTGGATGACTGGAAACGCAGCTCGGCCAAGGGGCGTCAGTGGCCGATCGGAAAGCGGGGAAAGTAAAGAGGGCCAACTTTTAAATTGTTGAGGTTAAAGCCGCTCAAAGCTTGGCCACAGCCATACCATCATTACCACCTTCCAAGACATCACTGTCCTAGTCTCCGCGTGTGACAGTTGATACCAGGAGACAGCCTGTCCAAGCAGTGACAGCTTGGGATCGCACACTGAAGAAGTTCAGCAAGTGCATCTTGGTTTCAACTCAGCCTGTAGCAAGAATATATCGGATCATGGACTCGGTTGTGTGCTTATGGACCCCTGAGTATTCTTAAGGGCGCCGAATCGTTTGAGTCTGTTTGTTTTGCTTGAGGGAAGGGAAAGGGGAAGGGATTTCCCGTAAAATAAATGTTACTTACATCATATTACTGCAATTACATATATTACATTATTACATATCATCAAGATTCAAAGTCGCTGCGAGTGTGAAATGGCCAGACTCTTGTGGCTTTACATGGTGCGCTTGGTGGCCGTTCATTTTGGTTCATATTGTCTCCCATCTTCGAACTCTTCGTACTTTTGCGGCGCCTTTTTTCCATCTCTGGATCTCTTGAATGACTTGGCATCCCTTCGCATTCTGTCCAATCCAATCTCATTTCTATGTTCGGCCCTCGTTTCAGCCATCGAACTGATGCAAAATGCTGTTTTCCAGGTTCCAGTCTTGGCCTACCCACAACTGGCAGTATTTCGCCAGTCCATTTGTTGGAACACGAACGAATTTGCACTACCAGGCCAGCACATGCCTTTGCAGATGCCTGTCAGCCCCTCATTGAGTGGATTGACACCCCAGGGAGAGGAGACGTTTTGATGTTTGTTGTTCACTGTTGTGGCAAGCTGTGTCCTTGATTGAAAAATGGCAAACATTCGAGACAGGGAAGCAAATCCAATTTCAGCCGACAGTCAACTGGGTTTCTGCGAGCAAAAGAGCATTTTTCTGCCCCCCAGATACCATAATTTTGTCCCATCGCCCTGCAATCAGCTCCCACAATCTTAACACTTCGTTTGCGAAAGTGCAACTAAACTATCCCAATTTGGGCTTTGATGGTGGTTGTGACACTTGGGATAAAAGATGACTTGTGGATCTTGTGTAAGTGGTTTTGCCGTCCTTCTGAGCCTGGCTACTTGGTCCAGGAGATACAAGAGGCAAGAACCATGATGCCAAGTTGCTAAACTGCATTAGCTTGTCGCAGCTATCATTTTTCCTTGCTGTTTTCAGTCTCGCATGAATAAAGGGCAAGTACTGCGATAGCAATAATGACGAAAGGTAGCTTGTCGCTGCTTGTCGGTTGTGTACTGCATGGGTTGCCCCCTCAGCGTTTTCTGGAGGCTTTGGAACAATACCATGACACAATTGAAGGACGCGAATACGAAGGCGACACGAATTCATCGCATCTCGGAAGTTTAGTTTTTGCCTCGCGGAATTTGAAAACCAATTGTCGGCCACCTAAACTGTGTTCACCAGCTTGATGTTAGTTCCGCATGCTGAGTGCCCAAGGCATTGTGTGGGTGATAAATGCAGCATGGAAGCGAGCCACCGACGTCCGTGAACTAATGCTAAAGGAACTTCGCATGTCCTTTGGGGTGGATTTGTACAAGAACTTAGCGATTGTGCTCAACTTTTTGCCCCGCACGGCCAACAAGACGGCGTACAGCGAAATCAAACAGCGCCACAAGGAGAACTGGAAGAGACTGTGTTATGATGGATTTCGTGTCAAAGTAGGCCTATTGAATCTATTCGTTGCTAGATTGAACGCGTTCGATGAGAATCTTTTGACTTGAGTCTTGCGCCTTTCGCTTCACCAGGAGCGGTTTGTGGAATGGATCATGCAGCGTGAGGATGTGATGTTCCAGTGGCATCCAGATCTTCGGAAAGGCGTCGAGGATGAGGTGAACAACATAGATATCTATGGAATCAACATCAACCCCAAGTACCTGATGGAAAAACCCAGCGCCTCAAGATGCACGAAGATGCACGTGTTGTCCTTTTGTTTTGCGTGATGTGGTTAGATAGTGTTAAGCCCAGAGCCTATTGTTCATGGAGGCTGAGCAACGGAGAATTGGCAATCGTTATCATCAAAATGTATGAGTTCTGCCGGTGTTCACTGTCCACTACTGTCCACTAGGTGATGTGCCCATTTCAACACCGTACCTCAACCTCTTTTACCCCTTTTCCGATGCTGGTGTGGACGACCTGACGGCTCTGCTTACAAGTACGGTCAACCAGACCCGTGGAGGCTGGCTTGGGAAAGCTGCAAAGACATGTTTGACGAGTAGGTTGATACGTGATTCGACATGGATAATTGGCACTGCTTGATAGTTCCCCACCGAAGCGCCCCAAGCTGTCTCTAAATATCGTGAAGGTCACTCTTGGGCAACTGGACAATCCCATTTGCACTTGCAATAACCAGAGACGAAAACATGTTCGATGCCAGTTCCAAAAAATGTTGGTCTGGTAACTGATATGGGATGATATGCGGTATGCGGAGGTTTTGAAGGGATGTATGGTGAAGACACACAGCATCCAAGAGAGTTTGGACTTGTTATCAGGGGCGTGCCAGGAGGGGCGCAGGGCATAATTGCAAAAATCGAAAATGGAGGCGTTCAAGACAACTCAGCTCGAAATTGTATCTTCAACATTCTTCAACGATTTAGGTATTTTGCATGACTCATGACAGCTTAACTTTGGGATCTGTGAGGAAGTCGCGCAGAAGGGTCGAATTGTTAAAAACCTCATCTATGTCAATGTATATTTCCCCAAACAGCGTGTCCACACTGACGGGTTCTTACGGAAAGTGTAAGGGCCGGTGCTTCATCAGGGTGCTCCATCTGAGGCGCGGCATTTTTCCTGTAAATTCATGCATACAACGGCTCTTCTGAGATGTCCAAGTGCATTTCGACTGCGCAGGCTCGCACAAAACGGTTGTCGTGGTCCTGGGGCGCGGCCTTTTCCTTGAGATTCCTTGAGAATTCTCGCGTAAAATGGCTCTTGTGACATGTCCATGGCCATGTCGACTGCGCAGGCTCGCGCAAAACATGCGGCTGACTTTTGTGGCAGGGCATTCTGCCTGTAAATTCCCGCATAAAATGTCGCTTCGGAGATCAGGCTCGCAAAACAGGTCCTTGCATGATCTTGCACAGCTCCTTACGCGAAGATCTTGTGGAGATCCGGGTGAAATCCTCCCTTGTACAGATCCTTCTGAGAAGATCTTGTGGAGATCCTTCTGAAATCATTTAAGGGGTCCTTGCATGATCTTGTACAGGTCCTTCTTGGAAGATCTTGTGGAAACCCTTTTCCAATCTTCCCTAAGAGGCCTTGCATTAAGATCTTGATCCTTAACAGAAGATCTGGTGGAGATCCTGGTGAGATCCTCTTTAACAGGTCCTTGCATGAAGATCTTGCAAATGCCATGTCTTACAGTTGCTTGTATGGGAGCTCTTGTGGATGGCTCTCGGAAGGTTCTTGTATCCTCCAGCAGCAGCAGCAAGTCCTTTTATGATGATCTTGTGAGAATCTCTTTGGGGTCCTGGCATGAAGATCTTGGTCTAGGTCTTTTATACGTCCGATCTTGTGGAGATCCTCTTGAAATGCTGTCAGAAGCCTTTGCGTCATCTTGTACAGGTCTTTGTGCGGAGTTCTTGCAGAGGTCCTGGTGAATCCTCTAGGTCTCCCTACATGATCTGGTACGGGTCCTTGTGAGAAGATCTTGTGGAGATCCTGTTCAAATCCTCCTCCATAGGTCTGTGCATTAAGATCTTGCAGATGTTTGCGTTGGTGATTGTATGAAAATTCTTCTGGGATGATCATAGGAAATTCTTGCAGGAAGATCTTGTGAGCTCCTCTCTCTCTCTCTCTATATATATGATGGTTAATCTAAAGGTCCTTGTAAGGAGTTTTAATTGTGAAAGCCGTGCATGTTATGTTGGAAACCCTCGCGAAAGTTTTTTTTCGAGTTCGCGAAAGTAAAATTTTATTTCGCGAAAGTTTCGCGAAAGTTGGGTGTTATAATCATTATATGTAAAGGGCTGCCACCCACTGCCGCCCGGGGTCCGGCAGGAGAAGGGCACCAGAGAATGCGAGTAGCAGTAGCCAAGTTTCCAAAAGTGAGGCTTTGCGAGAGCCAAACACCAAGGCCCCTGGTCTTCGCTTTTCCTTCAGTGCACCCCCTGCTGATGGCCGGGGTCTGTGAATAGGGATATTTTCGAGAAAGTTCCGCGAAAGTTATGCGAAAGAGCGGGCGAAAGTCAAAGTGCATGTTGAAGGGGGTGGGCCAGTAAACTTTGCAAAAAAAAATCTGTCCTGAGAAGGGATTCCGTGATGCTAGCTGCATGTTTAAAAGGCTACCAAGAAGTGATCCGTGATTCTCTGGCGTAATTTGGCAGGTGGTGAACGAATCTTCATAAGAGGTGTTGTTGGCCAACATGGGCCCCGCGAAAGATAAACATGGAGTTCGCTAAAGTTTCGCGAAAGTAAAATTTTTATTCGCGAAGAATGGCCGTTCCGGGATAAAGGAATTTTGATCAACAACCATATATATGTATATCTACATAGAAGGTCCTGCTGCCACAGTTGCGATAGTGTCTTACCTCATCTGGTACTGTTCCATGGTTACTGTTGCTTGTTACGAAAGCCAGCCGGGAAGCTGGCTAGTTGCTATTTGCGAACGAAGTGAGAATAGGGGGTCTGGGGGGGGTAGTTGCCAAACGGGTCAAAAATCGGGAAAATAGGTGGTGATTTTAGTGAGAAAAAAGTATGGTTTTGCAGGGTAATGTACCAGGCTGCAAAACAGTGACGGTGGGTATCGATTCCCCTAGGTCCGGTCTTTCGGGTTCAGTTAATGGACAGATAGATGGGCCAGCTAGTGAGAGGAGATTGGAGAGAGAAGGACATTGGAATGAAAGTTGACATCCGGTTTTCTGGGAATGGACAGATAGATGGGCCAGCTAGTTAGAGGACAAGAAGGAGAGAGAGAGAGAGAGGACATTGGCCTGAAAGTTGACGGAAAGAGAGAAAAGAGAGAGAGAGAGGAATGCTTTGCTCCATGTCTTTCGCTGATCACTATTTCTCTCTCTGCCTGAAAACTGACATACTGAGAGAAAGAGAGAGCCAGAGAGAAGAGTGCTTTGCTCCATGTTCTTTTCTGACTTGACGCTTCACAGCCAGCCTAAAAATCAGGGCGGCGTGTGCAACCTTTCCACGGCCACTCCTCCATCCAATTATCCATCCTCTTTTTCAAGACATTTTCGCACAATCACCATTTCAATGGACGATCTGGCTTTCGTTCCCCCCTTCTCAGGTATCTGGTACATTAACTTCCTGCCCCCCACATTGTTTGGGGTCTCTTGCCGGTGTGGAGAAGTCTTGTGCGAGTTCTCCTTCAGGGATGTTGTCCTGCTTCAGAGAGCTTGCGCAGAGCTCTTGTGAGGATAGAAACCCTCTGAAGGGATTTGCTGATTTGCTTCAGAGATGATGCAGATTTCCGTCTATGTAGTAGACAGGCTTTAAAATAGAGTTTGATAGATATCAATGTCGGCACCAATTGTCCACTTGACGTTTTTGGAAACCCCAGCATCGGAACCTGGAAAGCTAGTGTCAGACCTGACTCCAACATGTCCGTCTCAGGCCATAGCCTGTTGCTCGACAATCCGCACCCGAGGGTTGGGCCTGGGCAAGCGAACAACGTTTCTCTGGCTTTGACATGTGGGCCATGGCAACGGCATGGGCCATGGCAGGGCAAATTTGACTATTGGAAACCTTCGAAGCGAGGGGACAAATATTGGGAACCTGGCGCCGCCTTGATCACGTTTGAGGCATTCCGCTTTGGGGCGACAAAACTGATCAGTGACAACCCACAGCGCATGATCCACTTGCTTTCAAAGCAAAGTAGATTGAAACTGTAATATTTGAGTTTTGAGGTGCTGTTGTTGATGCTTGGGTGAAGATGCGATGTTCTTTAGCATATGGAGGTTGAAATTCTGTTGATTGAGGGTCGGCGAGAATTCGGGTGAGTTGATTGCCAATGACTAGAAGAAAAATGCAAAAGTTCATGGTAAGGCAAAAAATCCTGTGCTGGTTAAACAATCTTTCTGGTCAAGTTTAGTATTTTCCACCTTTGATTCACCTTTGCTCGCTTTTGCGCAATATTTCCTCGCTTATCTTGGCTTGATCACAGGCACATGGGAAGTACTTTTCTGATGGCGACAAGGCTTTGCTGCTTCCAGAGTCTGCAAGCTGCGGGGATCGGAGCGCTGAGCGTTGGCCAGATCGGTGGCGGACAAAGGTGTTGAGCACCAAGCCACATTTGATCCTGGGTTTGATTATTTTCACCATTTTCTACTCCAGCTGTTGATTTGATAGTGACTTGTGAACTTTACAGTTTCTGTGGAGCTGTTGCAAGACACTGACACTCACTGCTTTGCGTTCCAAAGTACATCCATTTTCTCTCAAAGTGGGAGTTGCGTTGCAAAACTTAGGCCGGGAAACCAGTCAACCACTTTTCAGTCAGAGTTTCAGGGCACACAAGTGTGCTTTTGTGAAGCTTCTGGTTGCAACGAAAGCTGGCGATTCGGTCAGAAACTACCTTTCCAGCTTCCCGAGGACGATTGCAACCCGCTCACGACATATTCAGTTGATAGAACAAACCCAAAGAAAGTGGCAAATCCTTGGAACCTGGTTTTAGTTGGCAAACGGGTTTTTGGGGTGCCTAGAGAGCCTGGCTTACCTATGTTTGAATACAGCATGGAAGGCAGGATGACAGACTACAAGGAATACATTTTCGAAGAAGAGCACCAAAAACATTGGTTTCAGGCAGTCGTTTCCAACAACACCCTGTACCTGCTGGCCAAGGAGGGCAAGTTTTTCTTATCTGTCGATATCAATCAACACACGCCCATGCCAGGGAAGCTTGTTGACACTCACACAGGTCTTACAAGTGACGGTTGGCACTTTTTCGGCATGGCTGTAGTGGGGAGTTCTATTTACTTAGTTCCTGGAAGAGAGTCAAATGTCAGAATCTTGGATTTGGTCACTGGAACATTTCGATTATCTCTTCCCCTGGAAGGGCTCCGATATGACAAGCAGTCGAGCAACAAGTTTGGATTTCCTTGCGTTTCACAGAACAAAATATTTGCACCGCCATGGGAGGTAGAGGCATTCTTTGTGATGAATGTTCTGGATGAAAGTGTGCCTGTGCAGATCAAGCATGTTGCGTTTGAACGCCGGATGGCAATATGCGCTTGGAGTGAATTTGTAGAATTCGGTGGCTTTCTATATGCCAGTCCTTATAATGAAAAGACGATCTTGCGCGTCGACCCAGGTGATCTCACTTGGGTCAAACTGCAAGTGGGCCTAAGCCAGCCGCCAAGATGGTCAGGACCTGCAGTTCTCGGGAAACGCATTTTCTTTGCTCCCACAGAGGATTTAGACATGGTGCCTGTCTTGGAGACTGACACTCAAAAACTGAAGTATCTTGTGGCAGAATCTCTGGAACTGCCACAGAATTTCAAGAATCAGTTCTCCGCTGCACAGCGAACAGTTGTCGCAGTTGACAACACTTTGCAATTTAGTCCTGGCTTAAATGCGAATGCCATAATGGTCGTTAACGTGTCTGCTGGATTTGAGGATTGATGCGCAATGGCTGACCTGCACAGACATGAGCAGAAAGGGCCCAATGTTCTGAAATGCGAGTAACTGCAGAGATTGGGCTAGTGCTTCGACCGAGAAGTGATCAGGACTTCAGAGGTAGACTTGAATGCAAACGCTTTCGCTTGTCGCATTGCCGTGACAGAAAGGCTTTTGGGGTCTTGGAGTGCGTTGAGTTGTTTTCCTCTTTTACTGATGTTTGAGATGTTTCAAGTCCTTGGCCTTTCAAGTGAAAGGAGATGAACATGCTATGCCAATATTCTGATTCCTTTGCTGGTTTGATCTTGTGTCGAAAATGAGCTGGTAAGCCGTCCAAACATTGTAAAGATCACAAAGGGGCTGCACAGCACATGTGCAGAACAGTATGCTCAGCAACAGAGAGAGAGAGAGAGAGGGAGCACACTGGACGTGGATGGAGGATTGCAGAGCAGATGTGCCAAACAATTAACATGCAATCTGCTGTTAAATCCCCTCCAAGAATCACCTGACAAATGCCATGTTTTCACAGCACATGTTTCTCACGAAGCAGCTGCCCAGCTGATGGAGGTCAGGTCCATGGGAACTTGATGCAACGAAATCCGTTTGCTCCACATTGAATGGCCATGTCGTAGGATTCACCATAAAACGAATGAGGAACACGAAAGATCGGCTGAGTTTTGACAATTCGAAATCATGGCAGCCTGCAAGGCATTGAATAAATTGACTTCGATGATTTACGAAGGCTTGACTACGCTTCTACTTCAGAGCGGTTGGGATCCGGAATCGAATACATAAACGAAACAACAAGTCTAATTGAGATCAAGAGCGACCAAGACAGACTTATATTCAGTAACTAGCACATTTGAATATTCTATCTGCTGGTTACTTAATATAGATTGATCAGGATGGATTGATATATATATATATTGATATAAGATTCTTCTAATTAAGAGAAGCATCGATAGCTCCTGGAGGCAAGTTGCAGCTTGGAACGGCGAGTTGGGATCAGTTGCAGCTTGGCATTGCGTCCTGATGTCCCGTTGCATCTTCCCACAGCTTTCAGCCCCACTGGATGTCAAAGGATCATTTGTGAGTTGCCCGTGGAGTTTTTGCGATCTTTCCCCCCATAGAGTTTGCGAGAAGCAAGACAAACGGCAGTTCTTGTGTTTGTGTAGGTCAAAATTGCTGTATTCAAAATTAGTGCAGACAGTTGAGTAACTGAAACCAATGTTTTCCAACGCATCCAAGTTGTTATTCCCGTTGTTTGTCATAAGGTGCCTTTGAATGGGACCAGGATCATGCCGACTCTGGTGATTTTGGGCTTTTGATGTGTGGAAATCATGTGGGAAAGGATGCATGTGTGTTAAGTATAGCAATATCGCTTAGAAAACGATACCCAGTCCCAAAAACGATACCCAGTTGTGCTACATATGTTTTCGGACCCCCAATTTTGCCGGTCTCTCGCATGCAGACAATTCTTATATGACTATTGTTGCGCTCCGAGTATTTTTTGAAGCTGAATGGCAGTTGCATGCTTCAGCAGGACTGGGGTTCACTTTGAGAAATCACTCTCTGAGACGCAAAGCAGTTAAGATGTTTTTGAGATCAATCCCAACAGATCTGCGAGATTTTGCTCACCATTTGGGATATGTATGTTTTTGCCTGCGGACCGAAAACCGTTCCCGTAAAACGCACGTTTTTGAATATCGCGATTGTGGGGTGGAGAGGGGTGGGGTGGGGGGGCATGTTAACGTTCCTTGTACTTCGTACATAATATATTGCCATGCTGCTGAGATCTCTGGGATGGTTTACTACGTTACATGTGCTGATGGGGTGGGGTGGGGTGGGGTGGGGTGGTCATGTTAACGTTCCTTGCACTTCGTACATGATATATTGCCATGCTGCTGAGATCTCTGGGATTGTTTACTACGTTACATGTTGCTACGCTGCTGAGATCTCTGGGATTGTTTACTACGTTACATGTTGCTACGCTGCTGAGATCTCTGGGATTGTTTACTACGTTACATGTTGCTACGCTGCTGAGATCTCTGGGATCGTTTACTACGTTACATGTTGCTACGCTGCTGAGATCTCTGGGATCGTTTACTACGTTATATGTTGCCACGCTGCTGAGATCTCTGGGATCGTTTGCTACGTTACATGCTGCTACGTTGCTGAGATCTCTGGGATCGTTTACTACGTTACA